TGTGTGTGTGTGTGTGTGTGTGTGTTTCAGCTGCAGAGGGTCTGTACGGTGCTCGACACACACACCTGGCTGCGCGTAAGGACTGTAAGTCTGGCCTCTGCTGGTCTCTCTCAGTACTACACTACACTGACAGCATCAGGAACACGGTAATACCGTGGTATTTTGTGTGTTGTTCTGCTGATTCTTTGCTCTGTGTGTCTGTGGAGCAGCGATCGTTTCTCCGTTCAAGCCCATGGAGAGTTATCAGTATTCAGGTCAGTGTTTCTGTCACTCCGTCCAACTAAAGCATAAACGTGTACTGATTTAAACCCGACCCACGACGCCTCGCTCAAACACAGACTGTCCTGAGAGCGTCTGAATGTGTCATATAGCGGGCCGAGGCACGGTGGTGTGGGTTTGAAGCAGGCGTGTGACATGTACTGACATCAGCCCTGTGTGTGTGTGTGTGTGTGTGTGTGTCAGCGGTGGAGCGTAATAACCTGATGCGGTTGTCTCAGAGTATTCCATTCACCCCAGTGCCCCCTAGAGGTAAGACACAGCGCTGCCCTCCTGTCTCTCTCTGTCCCATCAGGCTTTGTTGTTTATCATGTAGTTCTGGGCGGCGTGACGGTAGAATGTATTTCACAGTAAATATATGCGATTTATTTTTAAATGTGAGAGGAGGAACATGGAGTGATGTGAAAATATATTACAGGCAAATGTCTAAACAGATCCTCAGATCCTCCTGTCTGCCCTCTCTTCACTGGGCATCACAGGGATTCCTCTTCGCTGGTTTGAATCCTATCTCACTGGTAGGTCTTTTCTAGGCTGGACTACTGCAATGCTCTTCTGGCTGGACTTCCATCAAGCACAATCAAACCTCTACAAATGATTCAGAATGCAGCGGTACGACTGGTCTTCAACGAGCCCAAAAGAGCCCATGTTACACCTCTCTTTATCTCCTTGCACTGGCTACCGGTCGCGGCTCGAATCAAGTTCAAGACATTGATGCTTGCATATAGAACAGCCACAGGCTCAGCACCTGCCTACTTCCACTCACTACTACGAATCTACATCCCCTCCAGAAGTCTGAGATCCGCTAGTGAGCGACGCCTCGTGGTACCATCACAGAGAGGCTCAAAATCACTTTCCAGAACATTCTCGTTCACCGCTCCTGGCTGGTGGAACGATCTTCCCACCCCTATCCGGAATGCTGAATCCCTGACAATTTTCAAGCGACAGCTGAAAACTCATCTCTTTCGAAGCTACTTGACTTCATCATCATCATTATAAATAAAAAAAAAAATAAAAAAAAAAATAAAAATATTTCTCTCTTTATTTATTCCTTCTCTTTCTAGCTTGTACTTATTTGAACAATGTCTAGAAACTTGGTATTACAAGCACTTCTTGTATCTGTTTGCCTCTTTAAGAAGAATCGCTTTATGTATCCCCAAATTGTAAGTCGCTTTGGATAAAAGCGTCTGCAAAATGACTAAATGTAATGTAAATGTAAAAAGCCTTAAATCAAGACATTTACTGGAGAAGTCTACTGAGGAAGAGATTAATTTATTGCTGTTCATGCAACATTTAATGCACATTTTAATACTTTCTGCTCTGATTTAAGAGCTTTTGAGGCCTTAATTTGTGAAGAGCGAATGAAGACTCGACCCTCAGAAACTTCCATCAAATGAGACAAATCCAAATTCAGTCCTGGGAAAATGGCACGTATGGTCACCCTACGTAAAGCAGCTCTAAAAAGACAACAGTGTCAATATTCAGCTCAGCTCAGTGTTGTAATATCTGCTTTGAGTCTTTAGTTTTGCACTATGAATCTATTTTTACACTGATTTTATATGAATCAGCTGATCTTTTGCTTTGCGTGCATCAAATTCCAAATAAACAGAGAACATCATTAAATCAGATGAAGCACCTTTTGTTTGTAAAAGACAGAATTCAGTCAGAACTTTAGCGTGACGCAGAAATGTTTGATGTAAGGTGTAGTTCGCGCTGCCCAGCCCTACGCTGTATTTGTTTGGTGATATTGTGTGTTTGCGAGGTCAGTTGCGTGTTTATGCGTGTCGTTCTCATGTTTGCGTGTCGTGCAGGTGAGCCGGTGACCGTGTACCGTCTGGAGGAGAGCTCTCCACTCACTCACTCACTCACTCACTCACTCACTCACTCACTCACTCACTCACTCACTCACTCACTCACACTTACTCACTCACTCACACACTCACGCGCACACACTCAGACACACACTCTCACACTCAGACACACACACATATACACACACTCAGACGCGCACACACACACTCTCTCACACACACACACACTCACTCACTCACTCACTCACTTACTCACTCACTCACTCACTTACTCACTCACTCACTCACTTACTCACTCACTCACTCACTTACTCACTCACTCACTCACTTACTCACTCACTCACTCACTTACTCACTCACTCACTCACTTACTCACTCACTCACTCACTTACTCACTCACTCACTCACTTACTCACTCACTCACTCACTTACTCACTCACTCACTCACTTACTCACTCACTCACTCACTTACTCACTCACTCACTCACTTACTCACTCACTCACTCACTTACTCACTCACTCACTCACTTACTCACTCACTCACTCACTTACTCACTCACTCACTCACTTACTCACTCACTCACTCACTTACTCACTCACTCACACACTCACTCACTCACACTTACTCACTCACTCACTCACACACACTCACGCGCACACACTCAGACACACTCTCACACTCAGACACACACACACACACATATACACACACTGAGACGCGCACACACACACTCTCTCAAACGCACGCACACACACTCACACACTCAGACACACACACTCTCTCACACACTCAAGACACACACACACACTCTCTCACACACACACACACACTCACTAACACACACAGACACACACATACACTCAGACACATAGACACACACACACGCGTTGCTGAGAGTGGAGTGTGTTTTCTGCAGGTTTCTGGAGGTGTTCCTGCTCTATTGTCACTCTGCCGGTCAGTGGTTTGCCATCGAGGAGTGCATCACCGGAGACTTCCGCAAGTTTAATAACAACAACGGGGATGAAATCGTCCCGACCAACCTTCTGGAAGAAACCATGCTGGCCTTCAGCCACTGGACGTATGAATACACGCGAGGAGAGCTGCTGGTGCTGGATCTGCAGGGTTTGTGTCTCACTCAGATCTCTTCATCTGCACTCCAGCAATCAGTGCTTTAGCTTCTGGGGTAGTTCACCCAAAAATGAATGTCAGTCCCTATCCACTGCCTATATAGACGAGCACAAGGAGGACATTTTTCAAAATTTCTCTTTTTGTGGTCTGAAAAATAAAGAAGGGCATACGGAATTAGAACAACACCAGGGTGTGTAAATGATGCCTGGACTTTCATTCTTGGGTGAACTATCCATACTGTAGCAACACTTTACCATTGCAGCTGTGTCTATAAACTTGTGTTTGTTTTACAGAGAGTTGAAATGATGGTCTGTATGTGGTGATTCTCTCTCTCTCTCTCTGTCTCTCAATTTGTTTTTCAATTCATATTGCTTTATTGGCATGACATACTTAGGTACATATTGCCAAAGCATTGTACATAGCAGAATAAAAACAAACAAAACAAAAATACATAATATACATCCATAAACAAACAAAACAAAAATACATGTAAAATACATCCATATATATATATATATTTATATGAACATTGATGGTACTACTAATGCAGATGTGTTCACTCTTTAACTCTTAGTTTGTGGCATTTATAAATATAATGTGCTACCAAAGAGGAAGTAGGTCCTTCACCAAGTAATATTCTTAATTTGTGGTTTTCATGGAGCGACTGGAACTCAGGAATGTTCTGCTGTATTTGACTGTACAGTGAGTCTCTTAAAGAGCAGGTCATATGGGTTTTTGAAAAATATCTCTTGCCGTTTATAACATAGCTATCCTTAAATGAAAACAATCTGCAAAGTTGTTAATCAAAAAAGTGCATGATAAAGATATTGTCTCTCAAAAGAGAGAGTCAGTTCTGAATCGCCTTAACGAGTCGTTTTGTATGCTGTGGACCGGGTTGTCCGTCTTACTAGGTCCACCTGTCGCTGCACAGGCTGTTCCTGTTGTTGACATGGTCGTAAAGTCAACTCCTCAGGATCACCTTCTTCTACTGGAAGTGGCATGCATAACATTCTCTGCAGGCACACCAGGTTCACTTGACACCATGACTATCATATCATCCCTTCTCCGCTCCTCAGAATCCTCACTCAAAGGGAATAGTCCTGAACTTTCTGTTTGACCATCTGATGGGACATAAACTGGTTGCAACACACTACGGTGTATTTGTCTCACTTTTCCACCATAAACTGGAACAATAGAATATACAGACCCTTGACCTTCAGGACATCGAACAATTCGGTAAGTGATTGGGTCCCAGGCATCCTGGATTTTCCTTCTGCCTTTATGGTCATGTGCTCTTTGATATACCAGCTGGCCTTCCCTTAAGGACATCTGCGACACCTTAGCATCATTTACACACAGAGGTGTAAAGAGTACCTAAAAACTATAGTTGAGTAAAAGTACAGATACCTTACAGTGAAAACTACTCCACTACACGTTACAAGTCACCAATTCCAAAACAACTTGAGTAAAAGTCTAAGAGTATCTGATTTTAACAGTACTTAAATATTTTACTTATACTAAATATAGGCTCAAAGATGCACTAGTCAGAGACATGCCAGTGAAAAACTAACGTTGTGGAGAAGCTGCGGAAAACAGGCTGAGGCAAGGATCTATGTGCTGGTATTTAATGGAAGAACTAGAACAAACAATGAGCCAAAAACCAAAGTGAACAAAGAACAGAATGACTGGCAAACAGACAACCATTACATTCAACAACTCACAAGGAACTAAAGAAA